TATACAGGACAATGATTAGGGTCCTCAACCAAAGGCTTTGGCTCAAAAGCCTAACCACAAGGCAGCGGTGTATGGCGGGAAATCTGACTGTATTACCATTTCTACGGAATAAGTCACCACATGCTCCAACCCCTAGCCTGGAGGGCCAGGAGACTGCTTGTCAGACTTCTAACCATTGATCAACATGGTATAAGAGACTCAATGAGTGTCACGAGAACACCCCCCAGTAGAGTTCAGTGGATGGCTGAGGTGCACAAGCCGTCACACCACGGTAAAGTCCAGTCTCTTAGTGACAGGACGAAAGTGTACGCAGTGCCCTGATCAACAACTACCACTACTTCTGGGTCAAAATGAACTCACTGGATGAAGCCCACGAAACGGGTAGGTCACTAGAACTGGCCCCAAAACAAGCTGGCATACTAGCATAACCAACCGATATCATGTTCTGTGGCTGCATCATCTTTGCAGACATACGGTTACTCCGTCAAACTCAATCTCCTCTGATTCTGCACCTTATATCTCGGCAATCAAATCTTAGTTGTTATTTTTGCAGTCGTTTCTGCCCCGCAAGAAAAGCGGTTTTAAATCATGTAGCAAAAAAGGCCATTTTCAGAGAGTTTGTCGATCTAAATCGATCACACATTAGTCAACTTGTACGACGGGTTCTGCATTATCCTCTGTTGATTGTTTGTCCCACACGGTGACCAGCATAAAGGCTAACGGAATATTACTTCAGGCTCTCGTAGACACAGGAAGTTCGGACAGTCATACATCTCCTTTGGTAGTTCAATTCTGTGATTACCGTGGATTCTACGTCTCCGATGAGTTCAACTAGCGGCTACTGCTACGTTCCATCGATTGCACGGGTACTGTTGGTGTTGCTCAATCCATGTGGTGACGTGCTGCTAGTCCATAATTCCTTCGTCTACATAACACATTTGAAATCACCTTAGGTGACAACCCAATTCCATTCACTTCCTGTGGTCTACCTGCTGCTACGGTTGAACCACGTCATTTCGTTAACCCCTATCGCTACAAAGTCACGGCGTTACAATCATGACAATATACAGTTCATTCGTTCCGAAGTTGGCCTACTGCCGGATGAAGGAGTGCTCAAGTACTGGTCATCATTATCAGAGACAGCAACATCGGTGATGACACTGATGTTTTACTGTCTTGCAACCATAATTCGTCGCGTCAAGTTATGTTCTTGGCCGGCTGGGATATTTCTTCGAGAGTTGAGCAGTTCCACTGTTCGGTCTGATATCTGGTGCTTGAGTGAGCCTGGTATAGCCGCGCCACAAGAAAAACTTTCAGCATTGTGCAAAGTGGTGGGACGTCGTCCAGCTGTAGCACTCTTTCGGTGCCTAACTGCCATGCCACACGAAGGACGCACGAGGGCTGGGATACTGCCAGGTCGCCCAAGCCTAGACAGGGGAAGTCGAGTGGCAGAGGTCGGGTTCGAACCACGGACCTTCCGGTCAGTAACTTCGTGCTCTAACCACTTGGTCCATCTCGCTTCCATCGGGTAGCATGGCAACTAGGCACCGGAAGGGTGTTAAAGCTGAAGAGTGGTGGGAGTCTCGTCACAGATGCACTAAGCCTGTAAACTTGTGCATTCAGACCTCCGGCAACCACAACGTTTTCTGAGGTTTTATCTCGCCGCAACAGGACGTTCAGGGCGTCATAAAACTTGTTCTTCATGGTGTCAGAGGTAGTCAATTGGGGCGTAGGCAGAAGTCAATCAACTTCCCCCTTGTGAGACTCTTCCACACACGTTGTCAGACGAACAGCGCAGAGGCAACTAGCAACGAGTATACAGCCAAGCAAGGATCCTTCCGTCAAGTGAATTTAGACGATATCAACCCCTGCACTTTCTGCCGCAACAGCTTCTGGATCGCCAGAGATGTGCAGCTAGAGGCGAGTGAAGAATGATGGGGTAATCAGCTTAAACACTGTATTCACATCGCGAATTCTTGTTCCTGAGACAGTAGACATCAATGCCAGGCGACTCCAGTACAAGAGCAGCTTGTTGTCCTGCTTGCTTCAGAGTGCGGCCAGATAGCCCGGGCACCGAGGCTTTAAAATTGATTTAGAGCAGCCTGAGGAGGTCAGCAGCGGATGACGCGCAGATGCTGCTTGCAAAACCGATGAAGGACAAACGAAGGCAGCAATCCCATCTGCTGGGACAACAAGGAGAGTTATTGGTGGAGTTGGAAGAAGAGGGTGAAGTATGTGAAAGAGAAGGAAGGGAAGCATCGACAGCAGCGTGTTCTCGCTTACCCGCCCTGCTGTGTGCAGCGAGTGAGGCAATCCGGCTGGTGGAGCAAGGCGAGGGTCGATGTGGCATGAGTTCATTTGTAAATGTGCAATTCACGGCTTTACGTGGGCTGGAATACCCCCAGGGCGCCCACACCTAGACAAGGGGACGATTAGTCCTCAAGAAAAGCGTCTGGTTCAAAAGGTTGACCACAATTCAGCGGTGTTTGAAGGGAAATCCAAGTGCATTACCATTTTTGCAGAACCCGTTGATACACGTGTTCCAACCCTTAACTTGGAGGGCCAAGCGACTGTTTATCAGACCTCTAACCATTGACCAACCTGGTATGCGAGACTCAGTGAGTGCCACGGGGACACCCCCCAGTATAGCTCAGTGGATCACAGATGCACAAATCGTCACACCACGGTAAGGTCTAATCTCCTAGTAATGACTTCAGTTGAAACCCTAGGTGCTTCGAATTCTGTTCTGAAACCAGGAAACCAAGACTATTTAGCTAACTTTTTTGTTCAAACACGGAAGCAAGCAGGATAACAGGTAGCTCTTGGTCGTATGCTGGATTCCCTCTGCATTAATGTCTGCTGTCCGTCAAAAGCGGGGACAGAGGATGCATGTCCCCTAACTCTTTTCGAGGTTCTGGGTGTGCCTGTAGTGATATAGAGACCACTGTAGCTAGCTATGCTAGGGTGCGCGACCAACCAAAAGCATCTCTACTTGATCAGATACCGTTTATAGTCGCCACTGCGCGGTTTGTTTGGCCACGTCTGTGAAAAAATCACGAGGCCCATCGCACCTTTTTTACTGTCTGCTTACGTCCTAACGGACTGTAGCTCTGAGTCAACAAAAAAAAACAGCTATGACGCTCTAAGTGCTCTTCCACAATGGACTGAAAGCTAAGGTGCCGTTGTGGTTGTCAGTAACCAGAAGGCTCCGGTAAGCAGACTAAGCGCTACTGACGCCCAATTGGGTGGGTCGTCTAGATACCACATGTACAGAAAACGGGAATAGTCTAATTCAGACGTGCTGAACAGACTGTTTCTTTGCAGTGTCAACTACCGAAACAATGGAAATCGGTTGACGACACGGTGCCCACAAACGAATCAGGCCCAAATCCAATGGACCACATGTTTCTTTGCAGTGTCAACTACCGAAACAATGGAAATCGGTTGACGACACGGTGCCCACAAACGAATCAGGCCCAAATCCAAATGGACCACATCGCCGTCAGTTTTCGGTGGTGAAGTTCAATTACTGCCTGCTGCTCCAGCTGGATTACCATCACATACTCCGACAATGCACTTGTGCGTTGCTGCCTTTCATAGCGCTTTTCCGGTCTACGCTCAGCGGGCACACTTCGCCTAGCCAGTGAATTCAGAAGTCAAAAACTTTCTGAACCGGCTCCTCGGACCTATGCCAGACGGCTACTTGGGACCGAGATCCAGAGATAAAAGCCCGAACCTCCATCTGCGGTACAACCCAAGCAACCTCGTCTAAACACTGGGTTTCTGATAGGACTGTGGCCTGTTTTCAGGCCAGACGACAGATTTCTCCTGATCGTAACCACAATTCAACCCCACGCTAAGTAAAACTGATTGACCGTGCAGACCGGTAAGCTTGGTGGACCCAAAAAGCCGAAGAAATGGAGTCGAAAAATGACGGAGGCACCCTTTCGACTGGTCCACGGAAGCCTCCTGTCAACGAAACCATTAGGAAATAGAATAGCTCTTCGGTATCTAGCATAAGGGAATGTTTAGATGGTTGAGCACAGCATTCTGTATAATGAGTTGGCAACCTGCAACCTACAATCCGTACTACCGGCCGTCAACACAATCGTGGACCGTTAACACCTGTGAGAGTCCAACGAATGTTGTACCATAGATACATCACGAAGAACAGCATTGAGTCCCGGCATCCTTTCCGTAATTATGATCAGTAGTCACTACAGGAGCTTCAGGCGAATGAACGATACATCGGTTTTGCATCACCCATTACCAGTGCAGTACGTCGCTTTCAAGAATCGATTGCACTAATAACCTACAAACTCACTGTCTTTCTAGTCCTACTAGTGGAGTAGCAGAATGATGGTGAATAAAATGGCACCGTGGATACATCGCGCGCCAAACAGGGCAATCACTAAATCATGATCGCTAGTACAAGCAGCTGTTTGTACTATATGTCCACCCGATGGAAAAGCCAAACACAGACCCCACAAAGATTTAAACCAGAATCTCGCTGAAGCAGGGTAATTAGGAGAGTAGTACCGCGGAATCCTCAGCAACAGTACATGCAGGTTGCACAATTAAAACCATTTACATTCCATGCCGGAAAGGGGGCGGCATAAACCATGCGCATCATCACAAGCGGTCGTGGCAAACTCTCGATAAAACAGCACGGCAGAGGGTGTTGTGGTTGAAGCCAAACAACAGTTGAAGTGCAGGCAAACGGCAGCAAGCAAGTTCATTCGAGCTGTCGACGAAGGAAATCCGCCTCAAGTTAGTGTCGAATTTCATGAGTATACGCTTATTAGCCTTAAACACATCAAATCAATACGAATTAAACTTCCCACATGATACTGCGAACGTTCTAACTCCCGCTTAACTTAGGCAGGCCTATGGAGGAACACCAATAGGACTTTGAATAGTGCTAACGTATCATACAGCTGAGGTACGAAGTAACAGCACGCAACAAGAGTAGAATCCGGTTTTCACTGGACTTTACTCACATTTTGTGCTGAATCCAATCCGTTTCTTAGTAGTAACATGATGGAATTCAACGTATTGCTCATTACAGCGAGGTGCATTGATAAACCACCCGCATCGGGAGCGGAGCCGACACCGCTGGACCAGAGGGTTGAATCCCGCGGCCAAAGAGACAGTATCAATCCTTAAAACAAAGAAGCAACAAGAGAATGAACATAAGGTAAGACCAGAAGACTTCCGTAAGTTCTTCACGGTTCCAACACTGCAAGTAAATCTGTGCTTCCCATACAACGTGACATCGCACGCGGAATTTTAAAATTAGTACCAGCCCTCAGGCGGGGCTCAGTATTCGCACAATGAAATTGAACTTTCGTTGGTAATGACGTGCTGATAGTGGACAAAATCAGTCGGCAAGCTGAGTTTGGAGAACCAGTCCAAACTTTCGAGCCTCATATGGGCATCTCGGGATCTAATCGATGCTGAGAAATTATTCCGCCTGACTTTTCCGCCAGAGGTTTGATTGCTTCAGCGGACAAAATAATTTGGTGAGTTGCAAATATAAGGAGATAAATTCGCATGGATTTTGGTTTGAGGACAAACGCAAGTAAATGCATCATTTTGGTGCAAAAGGTTCTGTTCTACGTCCTGGGGTTTTGCAGCTAATGGCATTGTGTGTCTTATGGACCCCGTTGTAATATTCGCCCAATAGATGCACACCCAAATTGTTTCCGCCGAAACTAGAGGCTTTTCGAAGTTGCTGATTTCACATGTAGTTAGTCTAATACGCCTGCACCTTCTGGTGATATGTTTTTCGTATAAAATGTTTAAGTGAGCGAAGCTTCTGGATCACCAACCTTGCGCGGTTTACATTTTGCCACCAGCTTACGAGAGATAAATCATGCGGCCACACTTTAGCATATTTTGGCGTTCCTTAGTGTCCGTTTAGAATGAACCAACATCTACAGTATATACAATGCGAATTCCGTTCGGGAGGATCGGCCAGGGTCGGGTTGATACTCATTAGGCATAACCAATGAAATACGTTTGTTGAGCTAAATTCGGCACAACACATTTTCCCATGGAGCTCACCTCCCTTTAATTAGAACAGTGGCAGATATTGTACGAATTGTGCAGTTGCGATGCAAAGGCCACCTCTGTTGATGGGTTTCTTTCCCGGCTGCCAAGGACAACTCTGTTTGTAATACAGATTCACGAGATCCAGGCGGGTAAATTACCAACACACTGTTATCGCTCTTCTCAGGATAAATGATGTTCCATTAGTTGAAAACATCTTAAAGTGCAAATATAATGATGTCAACTGAGAGCATCATTGTCGGTTATCACGATCACGGTGCCTGTTTTCGCGCACCCCGGTGCAGATAGCCCTTCCCGGACCCCTGTTTGCGTGCGACGCTGGCTATGCCCCGTAACCTTATCCAATGGCCAATGACAGTCCTTCATGCTCATAATTGTGCGGGGTTTTGCGTCCCCTGTCTGCTTACAGTAACTACCGGGACCGTCCATCTACACGCGGCTGACTTATCCAACGATCAGCGATGATACTTAATTGCCATACTCTCGTCCGTGTGCCACGGTGACGTTTGGAAAAATGCAACCTCCGGTGGCGAATTACGTTTCCATTATTCCGTCAGGTCGGCGCAAATTTCATGTGGAGTCGATTCGGCTCCTAGTGTCAAAATGCCGCTTTCACTTGATCGGTTTCTGACAGAAAAATCTACGATCAATCACAACTCTGCGAAGTCAACGAAAACATGTACTTGAACAAATTCGTATGGGATAACTCACCGATTGCTTGATAAGTCCCTTTGTGCGCAATTCCCAATCGGTTTCCACGATGAACCTGGAGTCTTGCTGTTACAAAGGCAAACTGACTGCATGCGAAATTAGTCCCATTGGCGAGTATGAGCTTGACGAAAGTATATCGATTATTTGGTAGCGGCATCTGGCAACAATATGCATTATTGGACGCAGCGAATTTGAAGCCAAAGTGGTATGTAGGTCGTAAGACCAAGTCCTATATACTTTGCCAGCTAAAATACTATTACAAAAGCTGTGTAAGAAGCAACTACATTGGGATGATAAACTGAGCGATGAAGACTCCGAGGAGTGGCAGAGATGGTTGGAAAGTGTGAGCTGAAAATGCCCCGTCGCGTGAAACCTGTCCACATTCATGATGCAAATGTGGACTTGTACATGTTCAGTGACGCCTCTGAAGTGGGGTATGTTGTGGTTGGGTATTGTCGCTGCTGCGTCGAACCCGAGAAATTCGCATGCATGCTGATATGCGCCAAGTCTAGAGTGGCACTTTTGAAATCTGTAAAGGTGCCGGGGCTTGAGCTGAATGCCGCGCGGGTAGACGCAAGGATGGCGGAAGAACTGAGGAAAGAAGCAGGATTTGCGTTCACTGGAACAACTTACTGGACGGATCCAACTATAGTGCCTCACTATATACGGAACACTGCCACTCGCTTTAGTAACTTTGTGGTAAAGGGAATCTCTTTGATGCATCAGTTGTCGTCACCCGGCCATTGGAGTCACGTAATTAGCGAGGACAATCCGGCAGGCTTGGCCTCTAACGGAGTAAGTTCTCTGACTGCTCTTCAATATTGGTTCAAGGGGCCGGCTTTTCTGGAAGCGTCTGAGGCCCATTGGCCAGGCTGTGAACCAAATTTCATGCCAGAAAGAATAGAATTGTAGACGAAACGTGCTTCTGCTAACGTGATCGCCTCTCTGGAACCAGCTGGGTTGCATCTTTTGATGGAAAGGTGTTCCGATTTGTCTAAACTTCTACGATCTGCGGTATGGTTGACAAGGTTTATAACATACCTGAGAATGATGGCAGGCGGCTCAACTGAATCCTCACTGAACGCTGGAAACTCACAGAAGTGATTCAAGCTGCGCCAAAATTTGAATCTCAAGGCCAGGTGTTGTAAAAGCGTTTTTGGGACCCCAGCCCGACCGCAGCGTTTTACTTACCCTAGAAGAGCATTTAGCTACCTATTTTAGCTATCTCGTTATCGACCGCACATAACCACCCCTCCAACTCTTCCTAGCTTGATTAGGCCCCACTGAGCATAAGCTTACTAGCATAATCCCACTGAGGCTTACTATTAACTGATTTGAATCAAACAATGCCACCAATCCCATATTCCTCTATGCGCTTGCTAGACCCTGACTCCCCATCATCCTTCTCCTCATTGCTTCCAAAGAAGCGCCTTGCAGGCAAAAGGTATAGCACTAAACCTCATTATCCTCCAAGGCCGGTCGATAGATTGCCCCAGCTAAATTCTACCTGCTCATTTGTACTAACTGACATTTCCCTTCCTGCCGTACCTGGTAGCTGCCTTTCATCCTCTTCACCAAATGAATCTCAGCTCCACACCAACCTAGCAAGTCTCTGCGCTCGTCTGCGTAAGGTGGAGAATGAACTGTTATCCTATCGTATCATGCAACCAATTGCCTGCCTTCTAAGTCCTGATGCAATGTGTGATCCATCAGATCTTGCAAAAGCGTTAGTCTTTATTGACACGCTCGCCCCGGAAATTAGTCGGCGTACGGATAGCCGACCGCATCCCGACAGAGCGCACAAAATCCGCCATCTTGACAGCATGCAACGTGCATGACACAGTCTGTACATCTCGGCGGTTGCGAAAGTCGAAACCCTCCTTGCATTGCCCAATACTAGTGCAGTTTAGAGATGAAGGCGATGCAAGGCGCCTTTTAACATCTCAGGCCCTTCTGTCCTCGACCCAGACATTCCAGACCGTAAAGGCCAAGGCTGCTCATACCAGACCACAAAGACAGCTCACAAGAAACCCACTCTCCGAACTTCTGCAGCCGACTACTGATAAGCATCGAACGAATCCATATTCTGATCAACAATCCGTACTTCTAAATACTCCCGATGTGACTCAGTCGCAGACTACTCATGAAACCAACCCCTCGGAAAGTTGTGAAAGTCATATCGCCGGCGATACATCTGCACATAGCTGTCGGAGAACACCAGATTCAACCAATAACCTACCGGGCCTGTCAACTGGTCCGGCCTCCTTTAAAATATCCTCCAGTTCCGTTGAACACCCCTCCGTACCCGCCATCAGTACAGCCTGCTCCAAACCGATCGGTATTACGGCCACTCCCCCAAATGCCAGAGCTGACCCCCTATCCTCTAAAACTCGAAGCTGTAGCACAGCCCCCATTATCCTGGAATCGCTCCCCGCCAAAGCCCGCCATACCGTCACGACAACTTGCGGCCGAAAGCCACACAGACCCTCACAATGGTCTCCAGGCCTGCATCTCTTTTTTCTGACCATGAGCCCTCCACTTCTACCCTTGGACACCCGCCTGTGCATCCTCAGGCATCAACTGCACCAAAGAAATTCACCCCTGTGATGTTGGACAGAGAATATTTCCAGCCCCTATTCCCAATCGAAGATGAAAACACAGTCTCTCGCCTCAGGCCCCCCGACCTAGTGACACTTCGCCCTTTTCCACCAAAGCGCTCCTTCGGGCTCAAACACCTATTACCAAAGCCTGGTATTGTAACGCCCCTGCCTGTGCAAAATCCACGAATTCCCACTCTTCACCTGCTACATCCTCTGCCTCCTCCGAAGTCATGTGTAGCCTCACCCTTAAAATCTTTAAAAAGCACATCAAACCAAACACTCCGCGCTCCTGGAAGCTTGTATCCACAACGATCCATGACCAGCTCCGACCCTCATCCGTTTCCACTACCCAGGCTACCAGCTTTCGCCCCGCCTGAATACCATTTTCGGCGACCACCCATCCCTCCACAGCCGCCACCCCCTTTTGCATCCTATCTCCCTCCATACCTGCCGACTCAGATGACACAGCCGACAGCTCTACATTCAACTGCATACTCTACTCCCGAAGCCATTCCGTACCCTACACTGAGCCTGATACAGTACCTCCTACCGTGGGTTCAAACCTATTTCAACGACGATTTACCCATCTAACACCAGTACTGAATACCTTCTCCCAGACTTCGAACTCTGTTTCATATTACCCCACCTCCAGGTGCCCAGTCCTCCAGTCCTAAACTTCACCGTAAATGAGGTTAAAAAGTTCCTACTTAGTACCGTCTGCTCGCCAATGAGCTTGTCGATAATGTTGTTCAATGC